GAGACAGAAGCTACTGTGCCCAGGATCCTTTCAGACTTGACCTATGTACCTTTTATCTGCCATTTATTTTCATTCTTTATAAATAAAATGATAATCATTAAGTATAGCATTTTCATGAGTTCTGTGAACATTCTAGCAAATTATCAAAACTGAGGGAGTTGTGGGAAGCCCCAAGTTTATAGCAGTCTGGACAGAAGTACAGTTGTCTTGGAGACATCTGGGACTTGTGGCTGGTGTCTGAAATGGGAGTCATCTTGTGGGACTGAGCCCCTTAACCTGTGGGGTCTGTGCCAACTCTGGGTAGTGTCATAATTGAATTGAATTGTAGGACATCCAGTTGGTGTCAAAGAATTGGTGTCAGAATGCAAAGAGTCATGTCTGTAAATCATATCACTTTGTAGTCAATGACAGAGCAAAATGATAAAAATTGGAGATTGCATCTGGGAGAAATAAGTGAGACTCTCAGATTTATTTTTTAATATATTCGCTGTGTAAACAAGTAGCAAATTCTATATATTCTCAGTTTAAATTCAAACCAATAAATATTTACCGAGCACCTGTTATGAGCCAAATACCTTGCTCAGTGCTAGAGGTTACCAACAGAATAAATACATGGAATTTATAATTTGATGGGAGGCATAGATATATAGGAACAAACAAAAACACTTGACCTTACTTTTTTTTTCTGTCCAAACAAGTTGGACTACCTTTTATTCATAATCATAGTATTAGAATGGCTGAATGGAGTTTGGTGCCATCTGCCTACACTGGCTTTGATTCATTAGGAAATTTTTTTATCCCGTTTTTAAGAAAATATTTACCTTTTCCCATGGCTGTCCAGAAAGAATTTGAAGAGAATACTGATATTAGTTTCTATTTCCTTTAAATATGGAAAAGCACTACCTGATCCACTCTAGAGGAGTGATAAAATGTTATTTATGTGGATAATTATTTTAATATGTAAATTTATCTCTTAAGAATGTGCATAGTATTATGATTTCATAAATATGTCCAAAGTTGCCATAGGCTGAATGTTTGTGTCCCTCCCCAAAATTCATATATTGAAACCTAGGCCCTGATGTGATGGTGTGGGCCTTTGGGAGGTGAGTAGGTCATGAGGGTGGAGCCCTCATGAGTGGGATTAGTGCTTTTATAAAAGAGACCCCAAAGAGCTCCTCCACCATGTGAGGACCCAGGGAGAAGATGACTGTCTATGAACCAGTGTGGGGCTCGATCCCCTGACCCTGAGATCATGACCCGAGCCTAAATCAAGAGTCAGATACCTAACTGACTGAGCCACCCAGGCGCCCCCTTAATCAGTTTTTTAGGAACAAAACATATGCAACGATCCTTTGGAAGTAGTCTGAAAACCAAAAAATAGTCTAGACTTAGCAATGAGTCATTCATTTGAACTCCTGTTAGTTTTTCAAAATCATGACATAATTTTCATCGACAGCCCTTCATGTCATAAAACTTCCACAAGAAATGTATGCACCCTTTGTTTATCTTCCAAGGACTTGGGTATATTTAGATATTACCCTTAAACTCATAGGCTTCCTTACTTAAAACTAGTCTCTTGAATGATGCTTTTATTCTTAATGAAGGTAAAGCAAACTCTTTTTTCAAGTACCCCTCAAAACATCACGTCTACACCGATAACCTAGTCAAACAGTGTGGATTTTCTCCTCTAATTATTATGTCAAGGTTGTTTTCTAACCTTTTCTGTTCCAAAATTTCCCCCAATGGGGACTGCCAACTGCTTCTGCACACAGTTTAGTTGGTTCTAATTCTTCATCTCTTTTCAGCGAGCTACCAGCATTTCACAAGCTGTTTGGTTTTTCAGGCCTTCCTTCATCATGGGGACTATTGTTGATTTCGCCTGTTTTAGTAATTTTTAAAACTATAGTTGTGTTTTATGAGTTGAGTTACAACTTTTGAACATCATTAAATAGTACAGAACTTACCTTTATTTTTGAAAAGTAAATACACATAGTTTATTTCATAGTTTTATAAAAGCACAAAAAAGAACAGTGTTTGCTTTTCTCCAAACTGAAGCTAATAAAAGTGTAAATATTTTAAATCTCTTGTTCTATAAAAAAGCAAAAATAATAAGATCATGCATATGGAATGCATGATTTCTTCCTATTTGGCAAACTTGTCTCTTAAGGTTTAACTATGATGTCATTTCATGTATGACACTATCTGCATCCTCCTTAGGCTTCCTTAATACTTGGACTTCTGCAGGCTCATATCACATGGTTTTGTAGATGCTTGATTTTAAGTCTGTCTTCTATGTAAAACTGAATACCTGCAAAACTGGAATCTTCTGTTAATTACCTCGGCATCCTACCAACCTAGTTCAGTGCTTGATATATAACAGTTCATGGATAAGTGTTTCTTGATTACACAGCTTCATTTTTTATGAAGCCATGGGAATATTCTGTAGCCAAAACTTTCTTCTATTTTTTTCTTAATTTAATACACATTGTCAATGTGTTTTTAGTTTACTGTGTTATTTCTGATATAAGTTACTGTTTAAACAAGATGTGTGCTAACAGATCCCTTGACTCATTTCCAACTGTGTATCTTATCGTCCAAAGTGGAAATCAGGAGCCTGACCATGCATTTAGGTGATAAATAAAGTGAATCATATGTAAGAAAAGATGAATCTCATAAGAAGCAGATGCTTTCAATTCTGGCCAGTTGTTGACATGACCTATGATATCAGATTTTCCAAATTTAAAAGGAATCAGAAATTTAGGCTTTTATGTTAAATGTTGGAACTTATTAGACATCAGTAAATATATGCGGGCCAAATGAAATTCCTCTGTAGTTATGATCTGGATTATCTATTGCCAAAGTATAAAACTAGCTTGTATGTTGCTTTTGCGATGCAGAGAGGTAGATAAATGATTTTGTCACAATATCACATTGGAATGGACAGTAAGACTAAGTATAAATTATCTCCAATTCTTTTTTTCCCCACATATAATAATGGCACTTATAAAGTGCAGTTTAAGAAATTAATCCAACTTCTTCATCATCTAGAAGTAAAGAAAGAAATTGTGGAATGTATTCTCATCAGGATGGAATGAGTTACTTGAGCTCTTACTTTTTAATGTAACTTTAAAACTAGTAGGTCTTGAAAATAGTGTTTGTAAGATCTTTGGTGTTTTTTCTCTACTGTAAGGAAAGTTAATAATAAAAAAGGAGAGTAAATCACAAATGCAGAATTATTCACACAAGCAGAAGAGCAGTATCCTTGGCTGTGAAAGGGTTTTCTGAGGGTGTGAAGCATACTAGACATTTAGAGAGTGGGGAGGACTTGCAGAACTGATATTAAGAACAGTGAATTCTCCAAGATGAGAATGTTATCCATACTGACATGAAACCTGAATCTGGGGAAAGAATTTTAGGCTTTCACCAGACAACCAATCTGACTCAACAACAGTCCATGCAAGGAGGAATGGAGAAGTCATCTACAAACGACCTACATGTACTGTTCAAACGAAGCATTCTTGACACCTAGGCTCCTAAATTAAAGAATATACTATGATATAATGGAAACAGACAAAAATGGGGGCACCACTTGCTTATTTTACCCTTTATTCTCTCCCTACAATCTCAAGTGAGGGTATTCTTATAGTCTAGACAGTCTTCTCAACCACATCGATGTGATAGATGTGGTGGAATAACTCCTCTTGCTACTTGGAAGGGCTGAGTCTGTGTCCCAACCTCATCTGTTTGTCCAGGGGATGCCTAGGGTTCAAGTCACCCTCGTGCCTTCACAACAAGCAACAAGAGTAGCCCTCTTTCGTTCCTTGAGTAATACTCTTTGGCACACAGTTTTAAAATCTGAGTATGGGAGGCTTTCCTTCTCTTGAGGAGCCTCCAAATTTGCTACATTGGAAACAGGAGCTTCCTTGCATTGCCTCAAAGAACAAGGACTGATTTTTTTATTTGCTTAGCTGTATCTATCTTTCCAAGTAAAGCTGGCAACAAATAAAACCAGCATTTTTGAGATTACTGTTTGCTAATTACAAGATTAACTTAGATTCTTAAGAAACTCCTTACAATCTTACACAAACATTTGCTCTCATGTCTTCATTCATTAATGGAAGATAATAGCAACAGAATTTTTCAGAAGAAACTCCCACACACTGCAATACGCACAACACGCTGTTTTCTTTTCTTTTCTTTTTTTTCTTTTCTTTTCTTCTTTTCTTTCTTTCTTTCTTTCTTTTTTTTTTTTTTTGCATTTACAGAGTTTAGTTGCATCTGCAGTTTGGTGTGGCTGACACAACTTAAAAGGCATTTAGAGAAATGAAAACTCAGATGAGAGAGAGTTGGAAGCCACTGGATGTGGTGGCTTCTACCTGCCTATTTTTGTGTCCTTACATATATTCAGAATATCCAGAATATTCAAAAGCAAAACTTCCAGGTGTTATGAAATGTTATGTGGCTTTAGGCTTTGTTTTTTTTTACATCTTATTAAATGCTTTTATTGTGTTTGTTCCTTTTATTATATTACCTCAAGTCCTTTGCAGAAATATTTACGAAGAGTAAATACTCTTAATGATGGAAAACAAACTGATGGTTACCAGAGGGGAGGTGGGTGGGGGATGGTTAAGTGGGTGATAGGGATTAAAGAGTGCACTTGTGATGAGCACCGGGTGTTGTATGGAGGTGTTGAATCACTAAATTCTATACCTGAAACTAATATTGCACTATATGTTCACTAACTGGAATTTAAATAAAAACTTTTTTAAGAAGAGTGAATACATGTTTAGTGTATGAGAAGATTAGCCTTCCTTATAAACATTAAAGGGACATATTAAAAATACAGCTATGTATACTTACTGTAATTGTGAAGTAATGTACATTCATACCTAACAACTATATAATGAAAATATCTTCTTCACATATGTCAGGAAAAGTTAAGCAGAAAAGCATAAATTATAGAGCCCTCACAAATTTTTCTATTTCAAATTTCTGAACAGAAAGAACGAGAGAAAGGTTCTAATTTGGCCTTTATGTTTCGGCTGCCTTTTGCTGCTGGGAGGGTGTTTAGCATCAGTATGTTGGACACTCTTCTCTATCAGGTATGCAGTGTTTCTTTTTTCTCTCTAAAATGTTTATTCTAATTTCATTTAAATTTTATTAAATGAATAATACATCTAGTGTTTCTCATGGAGCTGTTAACTTATAATGGGCCCTAGAAGTAATTCAGTGTTTCATTTTGTGTATTTAATGACACATGTGCCTATGAAACATTGTGTAAGGAAATTTTTCAGAATAATGAAAGATTATTTTTCAGAGTAATCTATGAAATAATTTTTAGTCATTCTTTAGCATCAGTGTCCTACAGTGTTTTTTGTGACATTTTAATATATTTTGCTTATTACTGTAAGCATGTTACCAGAGTAAAAAAAGAAGGTAAGAACAAAATGACTATATTAAAAAAAAACAACCTTCTTCATAATGCACATTTAAAAAAAAATAAGACATCAAAATGATGTCAATAAACTGATAAACATATTTTAAATATCTGCTAATTACCACCTACTTTAGAAAAAATATAAAAAGATCCTGCAACAACTAAGAACCATTTAGTTTGTTCCTGAATGCCAAACTTTAAATAAATAAATAAATAAAATTGTCATTTGATCATAGCTAAGAAATTTATAGAGATATTATTTTGCACCAATATATTTTAATCTTTTTTTAACTCCACCAGATACTGAATAGCACTAATATTTCATATTCTCTGATTCAAGTAATCAGACAATTTATAAATATTTCTATTAAGAGAAAACAGATATTCATGGAGTTTTAAATTATTTGATAATTTTAATCTCAAATTAAGCATTCGAACATTTTGTTGTGCTATTTTCTTTTTGATTATGTATTTTATGTACCCTCTTCTGCAATGCTTGGCTGAATAAACTAATCTGAAGATGGCTAAAGCTTTTCTACTGGCCTTTGGGCTAATTATGCCCAGGAATATGCTTCTAGCAATGTCACAAACCATCTGCTTATGTCAGATGAGTGCAGGAACAAACGCAGCAAAGGAGAATAAGCACTCCTGTTCACCCTAAACTTTCCAGACACATTATCTGGGCACTCCAAGAGGGGGGCTTCCACCCCACACACCATTACCACACACATACTTCTGATCTCTTAGAGAGGGGATTGGAGGGGAGGAATTGTTTGAAGAATGATGCTGAAACTGAAGATTTTACGTCAATAGCAGTCAAATGCTTGATGTCATTATGCACCAGTGGTTTTCAGATTTTTTAGCCCTGGTATCTTATGTTTAAATAAAATCTCATGAGAAAGTCTAATAGATGGACTAAACAGAAGAGGAATTGTTCTACGGAAGTGGAATGCAATAGTTCTTTCTTTCTCTTCATTTTTACCTTATGTTATTTTGTTGTAAGTACACAAACAGGAGTTAATTTTTTCTGAAGCTACTGCAGAAAGGGTGAAGCAGAACAATAATTTTCAAAGTAGTAACTGCTTATTTAGCTTTGCCTGACGTCAGACAAGATACGTTATGTTTCATGTTTTCAGATAAAGAGTACTCATTTATTGATTAAAAATAAATATTAGAAATCAGATATAATTCCTAAAAGTGCCTGTCACCACTGCTCTTGGTGGCCTCTGGTTAGTTCATGTTATAACTACCAGGATACTAACACACCTCAAAACCAAACTGCCCTTTTCTTTGGCCTGAGGAAAGGGAATGGATATGGTTCCTTTGTTCTTGTTTAGAAGGCAGGATTTAGTTTTCTGATGCTAGCTGTTGGTAAAATAGTAATGAACAAAGGAGCCTCGTAAATTTATTTAAAAGGTATTAAAAAAATATTTGCGATGCAAAATAACTAGATGGGTATTTAAATTTTTCATTTGTTTGACACTTGAAGATTAAATTCAAGACAGTCATTTCATACAATCTATGAAATAATTATTACATGTTATGGTGAAGTGTGCTTGTATCTGTTGAAAGTTTTTCTTTTCACTCAGAACTAAGAATAAATTCACGAAATTGAAAGCATTGTTAATACTCTGTTGAGCAGTGTTCTAGCAATATATCAAAACATATCTTATATACTAGCACATCAGATAGTCTGATAATGATATTTAATACTAAATTATTAATTCATTAATATTTAGATTTACTGAAATATTAGAAATTTAATCTACTAGCAAAGAGCTTAATCCTAAAAAACCTTTTGGAATTGAAAATTTCAGTTTTCAAGTTTTTTTTATATTCTCTATTTTAGCTCATAGTTTTTTGTTATTAAAAAATCTAATTAAAATCTGTTTTATCATGGGGCACCTGGGTGGCTCAGTTGGTTAAGCGACTGCCTTTGGCTCAGGTCATGATCCTGGAGTCCCTGGATCGAGTCCCGCATCGGGCTCCCTGCTCAGCAGGGAGTCTGCTTCTCCCTCTGACCTTCCCCCCTTTCATGCTCTCTCTCTTTCATTCTCTCTCAAATAAATAAATAAAAATCTTAAAAAAAAATCTGTTTTATCATGTCTAATAGTACATAAAACTTAAGCATGTCCAGGATATTCTAGTGAATAATTATTCCCCATATTTCTTCGTGGACAATTTACCTGTACCTGTGTATTTAAGACACTGAGAAGATAGATTTTTACTTCCTTTTTTTGTGGGGGTTTAATGATGTGTTATGAGAAGTAACCTTTTAGAAATGGTAAGATGTTCTCATTGAGCTATTCTGTACATTTCATACACATAATAAATACATATGTTGTTTATATTGCAGTCATTTGTAAAGGATTATATGATTTCTATCACCAGACTTCTGTTGGGATTGGACACTACTCCAGGATCAGGGTTTCTTTGTTCCGTAAGTTAATATTTGCTGGAATAGAAGATTGTTCTAATAGATATTTCTGAAATCCATCTATAATGTACTTTGGCTAATATGTGCTCAAAGAATATCTTCACAGTTTTTTAGTTCTTTAAAAAATTTTCAGAGACAACATTATTTTAAATTAATCATGAAAACAGCCATTCTATACAAAATTCAGAACAAGTGTTTTTTTTTCTAGCTGGCATTTGATACTGATGGTTTCTGACATAAGATGCCACACTGTTGAGGAAAACAGTGACCATTAAGTTTAATCCCACCTCTTTTTTTTTTTTTATAAATGAATATACTTTATCCAAGTGTATTCAATGAAACGACTTGCCAACATTTCACATTTATGATAAGCAAAGGGGGACTAGTACTTATGCCTCTGTCTGGGAGCCCTAGGCTCATTTTGTTACACCCTTTTGTCAACATGAGCATTATTAGGACTTTAGATGGACAATTTCTTTTTGTGCTGGAGTGTCTTTTGCATTTGAAAATTTGTAGCATCAGCAGACCTTGTCTGCTAAATTCCAGTAGCAGCTGTAGTCATTGCAACATTCCAAAAAGTCTACACCTGTTTTCCAACACCTCCCAATTACGAGTGACTACTACTGTCTACCGATACTGAACCAGCACAGTGTTGTGCTGCCATAAATGCAGTAGTTGGTCTTCTGAAGTTTGTGGAACCCCGGGGATAAGCTAAGGTAGAGTCCCATAAATAAGTTCAGTACATGCATAAGCACTTATGAAATGTCACTTTGAGATTTCAAAATATTCATACATTTAGCCTTTAAAAAATGAAAAATAACCCCTGAGGTTTTTTTTTTTTTTAATAACTCATGTATCTTATAGATGAAAATCACTGAGGATGACCTGTGGATCAGAACTTATGCCAGACTTTACCAGAAGCTGTGCTCTTCTACCGGAGATGTTCCCATTGGAATCTACAGGACTGAATCTCAGAAACTTGCTACATCTGAGGTTTGGAAATAACAAAATTTTCCAGTTTTAATGATTACTCTGATTGACTATAGCCATTCCTAATCTTGGAAATGGATTTCTAAAAAAAGTCGGAAAGTGAAAAAGAATGCTCTCTGAACACAAGTGTCAGTTCTCAGAGGCAAAAAATTTAAGTATTTGTTGAAGTAAACTATATCAGAATTCCCTAAAATGTTGTTGGCTAAGGGACTCTTCTAGAGTTTGTGAACTTTGGGCTCTGAATGCCTTCTGTAGGTCTAGGATTTTGCATGTCTGGATTGTCAGGAAGCAAATTAATTTTAAGCAACCTTCTGACATGTAAGGGCAGTTTTCAGGGCAAGCCATATAGCTTTTTAATATACTCCTTATTTCACATATACACATTTGGAAGGAAGTTAAACAAAGTTAGTAAGCATTGAAATTCACATTTCTCAAACTCTAGATTAAAGACTACTCTGAAGCCAAGATAAAACTCTAGGAGTACTACCAGACCTTCCCAGAGGAAAGCTCAGTATTTTTTTTTTTTAAGATTTTTTTTTTAAGATTTTATTTATTTATTTGAGAGAGAGACTGAGATAGAGAGAGCATGAGAGGGGGGAGGGTCAGAGGGAGAAGCAGGCTCCCTGCCGAGCAGGGAGCCCGATGCGGGACTCGATCCCGGGACTCCAGGATCATGACCTGAGCCAAAGGCAGTCGCTTAACCGACTGAGCCACCCAGGCGCCCCGGAAAGCTCAGTATTTTTAAAAGCAAACTAGAATCTGTTAATATGGAACAAAATTTCCAATGGCTTCATACAGCTAAAAACATCCACACTGATGTGGCCACAGTATGTGGTTCTAAATAGTTTTTATATCCTTGGTAAAACATCACCTTTTAAATTAGATTCTTTTATGAAATAAAAATTTTGGATAAATACACTATCCTACCAATATTTATAAAATTGTTTACTATAAATTATGGTTTGTATTCTTGAAATATTTTTCTTCTCAAATATCTTAAAGTTATTCAAAATTTTGGTTAGCCATATCTATTTTTGTCATATGCAAAGTTAACTAAGAGGCTCAGATCTGTTATTTGCATTTTAGTAGTCCATGCAGCCATTAAACTGGTTTATATTAAAATCACTGAATCCATATATAGCAAAAAAGAGCTTTATAGAAAGCATATGAGCAAAGGAGTGGATTTTTGTTTACTTGCTAAAATTTATGGTTTGACATTTAAATAAGTAATATTGGGGACAGCAGGAAATCGTTCAGTTTTTCTGAGATGCTTTCTAGCACTTTCACTGTAGATCAGGCATGCTAAAAGGAACCTTATTGCCATCTCTGCTACTTTGTAGGATAGTTTGGCTAGATATGCCTAAAATTTTAAGAATACTGTATCTAAAAAATTAGTATTTGATTAAAGGTTAAGAGAAGACAAGTGCTTTCACACTTAAGCAATTAACCACTTATTTGAGCTTGTTAAGTATAAAGAAAGTTTCCATTCACCAGAGTATTATTATGCTCTTATGTATAGCCTATGTGAATTTGAACATAGTAAATTCTGCCCTTGGTCAAGTTCATATTCATGTCATCATTTTATATTATTAAGGAACTTTGTTGTGTGCTGTTTACATTATAGTAGGGAAAGGATAATTGATGGCAATAATTGTGTTGCCATCACAGAGCATTTAACATTACATTTTGGTCAGTTCTTCCCATCACATAAAAAGATCCTTCAATAAAATGCTTATAAATCCCCCAAACTCTAGCTTGTATGAAAAACACACATCTTTGGGAAGATAAAAGGAAACTAAGTTAAATAAAGATAACTTCTGTCTTCCTATATTGAATTCAATTCATCTTTTGGCACATATATTTTTACTTAAATTTTATATTCTGCCTATTGTGTAAAAATTGAGGCAACCTAAATAATTAAAGATAAAAATGAAACCATCAAGGGGCGCCTGGGTGGCTCAGTCAGTTAAGCGGCTGCCTTCGGCTCAGGTCATGATCCCAGGGTCCTGGGATCGAGCCCCGCATCGGGCTCCCTGCTCAGCGGGGAGCCTGCTTCTCCCTCTCCCTCTGCCTGCCTCTCTGCCTACTTGTTCTCTCTCTCTATCTCTCTGTCAAATAAATAAATAAAATCTTTAAAAAAAATGAAACCATCAAGATTTTTTACAACACAATATATTAATAGAGACAGAGAAATTAATGTTATCCTACATCTAAAATAAACTGAGTGTTACAGTTGAGCCAGAATTCTACTTTTACTTTCCTGGTAAGGCAAAAATAGAACTGTTGAATTATATAGTAATTATAGTCTGATACATGAAAGGATAAAAGTTAATCTTGAGAAAGATTTGCTATTAAAAGAACATGTATATTATAGGTTTTCTTATTTAAAAGGCTTTATATAACATGAAGAACAGTGTCTATCTTCAATCAGAGTTTTACAAGATACAAAAGTGCCATTAAAGTGAATATCCTTTAAGTTAATCTTTTATTTTTTTTTTAAAAAGGACATCAATTAAATAATAACACAAAGACATTGGATTTTGTATGAAGAGGAAAATTTTTTTTCCTGATCATGTAAAAATAAAGAATAAGACCTTAATGTCTCTCATGAGATGAAAGATGGGCTCATACATTCCACCACCTTTCTCAAATATCAGATGGTTCAAGAAAAGTCAAGCGTTAGAATTCAGGTGATTTATCTTTGCCCCACGTGCCAATTTTCTCTTACTTTAATTAAAGAAAGACACCGATTTCAGAAGGTAGAAACTTCATCTAATAATTAGAATTGAAGAGTCTAACGTATTCTTGCATAAATGGCTGTCAGATTCCCATTCCCCCTCACAGTTCACACAGCTGTAGCATGCAGGCAAAGATTGAAGGTTTGTTTCTATGGCGAGAGGACACAGATACTCTTTGGATTGAAGGGACAGGTGAGGGCAATAATACCACACTAAATTCAGAGAGCTAAGTGAAAGGTCTATTCTGTATACTGTACCCTTCAGCAGCAGATTAGCGATCTTCCCTAGGGAATCCGAACAATCCAAGTGAAATGCCTAAAGATGTAGACATGGGACATTCAGTAATCCGGTGGTCACCTTGAAACTCAATAAAAAAAATCTCACCCAGAACTTTCAATAAATTTTATTAGTCCCCTACTTTTAAGTAGAAGACAACTAAAAATTCCCTATATTGGGAAATAGAATGAACCACAAAGGCACAAAATAAACAGGAAAGAAAAAAACATGTAAGAAGGGCAGATCATTGAGGAAGAAGACAATTTCAAAACATGAAATAAAGTATTTACCCAAGAGAAATACAAATATATCCACCCAAAGATTTGTATACAAATGTCCTTGGCAGCATTGTTTATAATAGCCAAAATTTGGAAACAACTTAAATGTCCATCAACTAGTAAACAGATAAGCAAAATGTGGTATATCCATACAATGGAATACTGTTTATCCATAGAAAGAAACTACTTATATGTGCTATTACTTGGATGAACCTCAAAAATACTAAGTACAGTGAAAGAAGGCGGATACAAATTGTATGATTTCATGTTATGAAATGTCATAAAAAGTAAATGTATGCAGACAGGAAGCAGATTAGTGATTGCCTAAGTCAGGGGGAGGTGGAGGAAATGGGAAACCAGTTAATGAACATGATGGGGTTTATTGGGGTATTGGAAATATTCTAAAACTGCTTTATGGTGATGATTATGCAACTTGGTAAATTTACTAAATATCTCTGATTTTATATTTGAAAATTATAAATGCCAAATATGTATCAGTAAAATTATATATTGAAAAGCTAGAATTAATATTATTAGAAAAATAAGATATTACTGGGGCACCTGGATGGCTCAGTTGGTTAAGCAACTGCCTTCGGCTCAGATCATGATCCCAGGGTCCTGGGATCGAGCCCCACGTCAGGCTCCTTGCTCAACGGGGAGCCTGCTTCCCCCTCTCCCTGTGCCTTTTATGCCACCTGCTTGTGCTCTCTCTCTCTGTCGGGTAAATAAATAAAATCTTTAAAAAAAAGAAAAAGAAAAAGAAGATATTGCAAAGATGAAAGACGAACAGGAAACTGAATTTTTATCTTTTTTTTTTTTTTTGAGAGATAAGGAGGAGATGGGATGGGCAGAGGGGGAGAGAGAATCCCAAGCAGGCTCTGTGCCCAATGCAGAGCCCCATGCAGAGCTGAGATCATGACCTGAGCCAAAATCAAGTCAGATGCTCCACCAGCTGAGCCACCCAGGCGCTCCAGGAAACTAAAGGAACATTTAGGAAAAAGAAAACCTTGGGAATTGAAAATATGATAGCAGAGGTAAAAAAAGTTAACATCATAAAGTTGAGGAAATCACCAAGAAACTAGAGCAAAAATTCAAACATGGAAACAGTAAAGAAAAGATAAGATTAGAGGACTAGTCCAGGAGGTCTAAGATCTGAATCATAACACTTCCATACAGAAAGAATACAGTAAGATATCAGTGTCATAATTTAAGAATAATCCCAGAATAGTAGTGTGTTAATTTCCAAATGGGAAGGGTCACCAAATGCTCAGTATAATGAATTAAAATAGACTCACATCAAGACACAGCACCATAATATTTCAGAATATTGAAGCAAAGGAGAAGGTGCAGGAGGAGAACAAGGGGTAGGTCACATGCAAAATATATTTGGGATTTTTCAAAAGCAACACTGTAAGCCAAAAGACAATGGAACAATTCCCTCAAAATCTTGAGGGAATATTTCCAAACGAGAATTCTATATTCAGCCAAACCTATCAAACTTGTGTAAGAGTAGGATAAATCATATTTCAACATTGTCTCCAAAAACATTCTACCATGCCTGCTTCCTAAAGAAACCACTCCCACCAAAAGGAATGAATACACTGAGAAAGGAATCATGGTATGGAGGAAACCATACATTTTATGGAATCCAGGCAACAAATATGAAGCCAAGGAAATCCCCAGGATGGCAGTGAAAAGACCATCAGACCTA